TTTAATATCTATTCTCCTTTTTTATCTAAAGTTCTTGAAGCTATTGTCCACAAACAAATTTCTTGTTACATTTTCAATAACAACTTTCTTAGCACATATCAATCAGGTTTTAGCCCTGGGCACGGTACAGCCACAGCTCTCAGCTTCTCTTAAAAGTTACAGAAGATTTTCGTACTGGAATGGAGAACTCAAAATTCCTAATAGATTTCTCTAACAGATGCTCTATTGGTGTAATAACTCCTCAGACTTTCGACTTCGATTAGAAATCTATCCCAAGAACGACCCAGTTGTAGTATGTAGTGTGTGTAGCTGCCCTATTGGTGTAATAACTCCTCAGACTTTCGACTTCGATTAGAAATCTCCTATCGCAAGAACCACCTAGTTGTAGTATGTAGTGTGTGTAGCTGCCCTATTGGTGTAATAACTCCTCAGACTTTCGACTTCGATTAGAAATCTCCTATCGCAAGAACCACCTAGTTGTAGTATGTAGTGTGTGTAGCTGCCCTATTGGTGTAATAACTCCTCAGACTTTCGACTTCGATTAGAAATCTCCTATCGCAAGAACCACCTAGTTGTAGTATGTAGTGTGTGTAGCTGCCCTATTGGTGTAATAACTCCTCAGACTTTCGACTTCGATTAGAAATCTCCTATCGCAAGAACCACCTAGTTGTAGTATGTAGTGTGTGTAGCTGCCCTATTGGTGTAATAACTCCTCAGACTTTCGACTTCGATTAGAAATCTCCTATCGCAAGAACCACCTAGTTGTAGTATGTAGTGTGTGTAGCTGCCCTATTGGTGTAATAACTCCTCAGACTTTCGACTTCGATTAGAAATCTCCTATCGCAAGAACCACCTAGTTGTAGTATGTAGTGTGTGTAGCTGCCCTATTGGTGTAATAACTCCTCAGACTTTCGACTTCGATTAGAAATCTCCTATCGCAAGAACCACCTAGTTGTAGTATGTAGTGTGTGTAGCTGCCCTATTGGTGTAATAACTCCTCAGACTTTCGACTTCGATTAGAAATCTCCTATCGCAAGAACCACCTAGTTGTAGTATGTAGTGTGTGTAGCTGCCCTATTGGTGTAATAACTCCTCAGACTTTCGACTTCGATTAGAAATCTCCTATACCAAGAACGAGCTAGTTGTAGTATGTAGTGTGCGTAGCTGCCCTATTGGTGTAATAACTCCTCAGACTTGCTGTCGTCGATTTGTTTTTTTTTTCACATCTGGCTTCAAAGTTATGGTATGCACACATGAATCCCACGCCTTACTCGTCACATTGGAGTCTTTAATGCCATCATACATATTTTTAAATAATTTTATATAAAACTAATCATTTATTTTGTCTTTCGTAGCTAGCTTACTGTACAGTAGAAGAATAGTACATTTAGATAATATATTGCTGTAAATGACATTTACATTTAATATATAAGTAATTTATTACACAAGTCATAAGTGCATCAAGCAAATTGCAATAACCTAATTGCTTAGTAGGTGACATGCTTACATGCATGTTGTTACTCAATCACTAGAAATAAGTATAAGTATATAGTAAGGTGGAGCCATGTTGCAGCTACAAGAATGTGTCGGTTCGTACGGGAAAGCACCATGCTCTAACAGAATATCAGCGTAAATTAGCAGCTTAATTATGCTGTGCTTCGTATGATGAATGCAGTGAATCATCAAGTTGACTTTGAGAATATAACAAAATGGGCCCATGATAATGGCATAATTCTAAATTTTAATAAAACAAAATGCATGCATATACACTCTCCATATAATGCTGCAGCAAAGAACACCATATTGAATGGGTGGTATAAAATTAATTGTAAATGTAAAGAAATTGAATTTGTTGATAAATTTAAGTATTTAGGACTGGTTATTGATAAAAAATTTTATTGGAAACCTCAAATATCTGACGTATGTGCAAAGTTGTCGGCTGTTTTATGTAAATTTTATTATTTAAAATATATTTTGAACAAAAAATCTATTTATCTTCTATACTATGCTTTGGTGAATTGCCTCATAACCTATGGACTTGGTGTGTATGGTCGTACTTTTTCTTCCTATATAAAGGACGTTAAAAATCTACAGACAAGATTTCTAAAATATCTTGTAAACGAAAAAGTTAAAGAAAAATGTAAGAAAGATTATAATATGTTATTCTCTATTTGTAAAATTTTACCGGTGGAACACAAAGTTAACGTGCTATTAGTTTTGGAAAACATTAATAAAAACCATTATAACGAAAAATTGGATAATATATATAGAACCAGGAAAGTTAGAGAAGGGAAATTATTTCAGCCTAGTGTTAAAAACTACTATGGTAAAAGATGTACAAAAAAATTTAATATAAAAGCTTTTTAATGAAATAGATTGGCTAAGGCAAGGTAGACCTAATTGCAAATTAACAATTAAAAAGAAACTTGGGAATAATTTTTTGGATAAAATGCTAGATGTATGGCCAGTTAGAAAACTGTTATTTGTTTGTAATATTTGAAAAATATATCCGGATTATGTTTAAAATTTCTATTTGTTTGTTATATTATGTGGGTTGAGTACTTATTTAACTATTTAACTAGGATATAAGAGTGCATTTATTCGCCAACAAACTGTCTTTACAGTTTGGCGAAGTTATAAAATTATGTAATGTTTTTTCTGTAAATTCATTATTATTTTCTGTATGTTCATTAAATAAATAAATAAAAATAAATCTTACATTTCATCTTAGTCCTCGGTAGTAACAACGCATATGCATATTAATTTGTAATCAAAGAGCGATTTAGACTTCTATGGGTCACAGTATCCACTTACTCGTATTTTTTTTATAGAATAAGGATGACAAACAAGCACACAGTCCACCTGACGGTAATTGGGTGGTGTGGCCCGTAAACATTTAGGTACCTCCGATTTCAAAATTCAGAAGCGTTATCACCCCTGAGGACTACGATGGGGTACTTCGTATCCAGTAAAAACGGTCTCCGGTTCTCTATGTTTACCATACGAAACACAGCAACATATTTTATGTTGGTATTCTGTGACAACGTGGTTCTTCCCAGTCGAGCCGACCCATTCGTACCATCAGGTGGACTACTCGTTTCTCACCCTTATTATTTTTTTTTTATCTTAACACGCGTGACCCTGCAGACTATCGCTGGAACTTTCCACTATGTTCGATCTCAAAACGCTTGACAAATATTTTACGAACTAATACTTAGCTCATTACATCAAAAACGATCCGAGCAGAAATTTCGAAGTTATTAAAAAAAAAACACTATTGAATTTATTGACAACGATAACTTTCGAACGGATCAACCGATTTTGATGTAATTGGTGGTAATTAACGAGATATTTTAAAATCGATAATAAAATCTATATAAAAAAACGATTATATGATATAATTAGACTGTAAATTCAAAAGTTGTGTGAAATAAACACTTTTTTCGAAATTTCCTCGTAGGAATAGTCAGAATAGCTTCCTGGGACCTCTAAACGTCGAGATCTGATGAAACCACGATTTTCGAAAATTGTTGCGAAACCAACAACTTCCATTTTTTTTTAAATTGACGTAAATTAAACGTTCTATTAAAAGGTACTGCTAGACTATTTTCTAGGAAACATTATCTTGCGTCGCCAACATGTATAACTTTTACTGGGCACAGGTATTTCTGAGGAATATGCAGACGTTAATAATATAATAATAATAATAAATCATTTTATTTTTCTCTTCACAAGGGTATATAATTTCACATTATTTCTTAAATAATACGGTTATCGATAATTTTGACCTTTGTGAGAGACTGGTGTCCATACTAGGGTAATCCCTATGTTATAGATCACATATTATATATTTATTAGTCTACCACGCCGTTCAAGTGCGTGTGAGCGTTTTTAAAAAATAAAATATTTCGAGGTAAGAGACTCACGATGTTTTCTTTCACCGTCGAGGACGTAGTAAATTAGCACCTAAAATTTGTAATAAAAAATTAGACCTCTAATAAAAAGTCTAAACCGTCAATAACAAAAAACCGGCCAAGGGCGTGTCGGGCCACGCTCAGTGTAGGGTTCCGTAGTTTCCCGTCCGTCACAATAAGTGTTCCCACTTATGAGTTTAAAGGTGGGTATCCATTATGTTCGCGCTCCAGCAGCGCTCCGCGCTCCTGCAACTGCTCCCGGTAGTGGGTACTGTTGTTTCCATCCAAGTTCAAAATGATTTTCCTAGAAAGTCCTTATAAAGTTCTACTTTTGAGATTTTTTCATATTTTCTAAACTTATGGTTCAAAAGTTAGAGGGGGGGGGACACATTCTTTTTTACTTTTGGAGCGATTATTTCCGAAATTATTGACATTATCAAAAATGATTTAGTAAACCCCTATTCATTTTTAAATACCTTTCCAACAAAATATCACACGTTAGGGTTGAAATTAAAAAAAAATCACTTCCCAGTTTACATATAGGGGGGCTACCCTAATAAAACATTTTTTTTCCAATTTTTATTTTACCACTTTGTCGGCGTGATTGATACACATATTGGTACCAAATTTCAGCTTTCTAGTGCGTTTAATTAGCTAGGTCATTATTAACATATAAAATAGAAATTGTGCGGCTGGAATTAGTCCGAACAATTCCTCAGAGCACTCCCCGTAGTAAATGCGTTAAAATATGCAAAGAGATGCAACATCTCTTCGCAGTGCCAGTCAGACAAGCCGATCGGAAAGAGCTCGGTCACCTCATATTTGCCAATAAATAATTGTCCCCTATATTTGCCATAGCAGCCGTGATTGGTTAGCAACCGCACTGATTATTTCTAATTTTTGTCCGGAAGAATTTGCTGGCCAGTGTACTGCTTTGATTCCCTTTGTAAATTTTTTTAAAGTACGGAATTACATGAGGTAGGTAGTCGATTCTCGTACGCTGTCACTACATGACAAGCTTCCACGGCTATCTGAAAACATGTATTACACTAAAAACATACTAATTTGTTTATTTTTGTTCAACAGGAAGATATGGTGTGCCTGTCATGCACGGCGACAGGCGAGCGAGTTTGCTTAGCGGCCGAGGGCTTCGGTAACCGACACTGCTTCCTCGAAAATATCGCCGATAAAAATATACCGCCCGATCTTTCGCAATGTGTATTTGTAATAGAACAAGTGAGTATTTTTTTTACTTATTATCAATTTTATTATTTACTGGCTGGTACCCGGCGTTTTGCTGCTATAAAAGAAATAATTGTGTAATTATCGTTTTAAATTTAGAAGAGTTATATATATTGTTTGTAGTCAACCAAATCTAAGAAATACATTTTGACAGCTGTCAGACTTATTGCACCAAGCATGCCAACCAAAAAATGGGAACGCACAATATTCGATTCTTAAAAAAATCGATATCGATTATTTAGAGTTGGTAATCATTTACAGTTTGGTTTGAATAAATTAAAAACGGATAATTTAAAACACAAAATTTATCAGTTTCTTCGTATTCGTTGTTACTGCTTATTTCTAGAGGCACAGTTATAAAAACTTAAGATTGAAACTAGATTAAAAATAAATTTATTCAATCACTTTCAGTACAAATAGTAGGGATGGCGTTGTTTATATTAATTATTATTTGATTTTCAATAATGCAGTCAAAATTAATGTCTCTTTCAAAGTCATTCATAATCATTTTTTGTTTTTTCTACCACTTTTGCCCAGTCATCCTTTGTGACATGGGCACATGCTTCAACTATTTTTTTTTATAGCATTGGGTGACAAACGAGCACACAGTCCACCTGATGGTAAGTGGATTCTATGGCCCATAGACATACACATTTATCCTCGATTTAGAATCAAAATGCAAATGCGTTGTCACGCCTGAAGACTAAGATGGAATGCCTCAATTCCAGTAAAAAGGGTCTCTGGTTCTCTACACTCACCATATGCAACATATCAGAATTACGCGGGTATTCTGTGAGAGCGTGGTCCTGCTTTGGTTGAGCCGACCCATTCGTGCTACTACTATAATATAGATGTAGCGTAGCTCTGCCAAGTACAAAAAGTTATTATAGAGGAAACAGTCCATAAAGCCGAGTCACAAAATAAGAAGACAAACACAAAATCAAAAAATTACACACAGTAAGCTCTCGAAACAGAAACAGAAACTTTTTTTTATGAATATATATTATGAATAACACTTATTGAAAGTCGCTTTTTTCGTTTACCACTAGTTCGCAAAAAAAAACCTCTGTCCTGAGAAGAACCAGCAAGAAACCCGACGGGACTAGTTAAAAAAAAATAAGAGCTTACAATCATGCGTGTTACAATTAACAACACAAAACATATTAGAAGTAGCTTGGTAGCGATCACCCTTCCCAGGGGTTATTATCATCCATAAATTCCTCAATATTAAAATAACCCTTTTTATACAAACTTACTTTAATAAAGTTTTTGAACTTTGTGTACTTACGTCAAATTTTGTATAGATTCTGTGAAGTCGAGTAACTGGTCCCGAAATGGCGAGATATTGAAATTATGTAGTGGTTATTTTAGCACGACCTTGTATATGAGTTTTTTTTTCCTACAAAAATTTACTTTGACAAAGTGAAAAAATAAACTTGTTTTATTCATGATTCATGTAATTTAAGGAATTTTGAAAATAAAAATAATTTAAACAAATAATACATTAAAGAAATTAATGATTCGATTATTAGAATATTTTTACCGATTATTTGAATATTTTTCCGATTATTCGCATAACAATGAATTTTAATCATTTCAACACTACGGTAATATACATAGCAACATGTCATTGAAACGACGTCATGTAAAAAAAGTTAATACTAGTTATTTTTTAATATTTTGCTTTGTTTGAAAAATTCAAATTGAAATAAGTGATAAAAAACCATAAACGTTGTAATGAAATATAGATAACTTCAAAATTCTTTGGATTTACGTAAAAGGTTATTTTAAATCGTGTGAGTACGCTTGTGCAAAGTTATTGCGGAATGATTAATGTGAAACGTCAAAAGGTATTTCTTAGATTTGGTTGACTTATAATTATTTATTTATTTATTTATTTATTTATTTAGCCTTTTTATTCAGATCAAAAATTACATAAAAGGAGAAGTACATGCAAAGCTTAATACTACTATTATCCTTAATCTAGTCTTTTATTTGAGGTTTTCTTATTTTTTGAAGATCTGTTTGCCAGTCGGCAAAGGCCTCCTCCAACCTTTTCCACTCACGTCTTTCTTGAGCCACCCTGTTCCATGTTACGCCTGCCACTTGCCTGATGTCATCATCCCACTTTTTTTGTGGTCTCCCTCTTTTCCTTTTTCCTTCTCTTGGATACCATTGCGTCACATTTTTGCTCCATTTATCTCTTCCTCTTATCATGTGCCCCGCCCATCGCCACTTCAGTCTTCTAATTTTGTGCGTTATGTCTGTAACCTTTGTTTTGCTTCTTATTACACAGTTTCTCAGTCGGTCCGATTTTTTCACATTCATCATGCTTCTTTCCATTGTGTGCTGGCATGTTGCAAGTTTGTTAGTCAGGTTTTGTGACAAGGTCCATGTTTGACTGCCGTACATGAGAACTGGCAGTATGCACGTGTTAAAAAGTTTGCTTTTTATATTAATATGCTGATTTTTATCCTTCATAATCTCTTTCAAAGTCCAGTACCTTTTCCAGGCGTTGGTTATTCTTCTTTCAGCTTCTTTGCGCATGGGGTTATCATTCGTTATTAGTTGTCCCAGATAAACATATTCTTCCGCATACTCGATTTGATTACTCCCTAAGTTTATAGCTGTTCTCTCTCCATTGGTCAGCACCCTAGTTTTTTCTGGGTTCAGTTGTAAACCCACCTTCTTGCTTTCCATTGCTAAGTCGTTTATCATTTTTGTTAAATCTTCGGGAGTTTTTGCAAATAGCACAATGTCATCCGCGAATCTCAGATGAGTTAGTGAACGACCATCTACGTTAATACCGAGATTTTCCCAATGAAGACCTCTGAATATTGACTCAAGCACCGCCGAGAATAATTTTGGTGACAGAGGGTCTCCTTGTCGTACGCCTTTGCCGATTTTGAAACATTCGCCTTTCTTTTCCAGTTGTATTCTCGCTGTACTCTTGTTGTAAACGTTTTTAATTAAGCGGATATACTTGTGATCAATTCCTTGTTCTTTTAATGACTCCCATATCTTTGCGTGAAATAAAGAATCGAACGCCTTGCTGTAGTCGATGAATCCAATATAGTAGGTCAGTTGGTATTCTTTATACTTCTCCATAACTTGGCGTACTACGTGAATGTGGTCGAGCACTGAGTAGTCTTTACGAAAACCCGCCTGCTCAATGGGTTGGTGTTCGTCTAATGTTTTCTCAATCCGATTTAGTAAGATCTTAGCAAATACTTTATATAAATTGGACATTAGGCTGATGGGGCGATAGTTCCCGATTTCATATTTGTCTCCTTTTTTTATATAGAAGAATAATGTTTGATTGTGTCCATTGCTGTGGGATAATTTCGGTGGTTAGTATCTCGTTGAATATGTCAATAAGGACTGGTGCTATAACTTCTTTACTTTCTTTTAAGATTTCATTGTTTATGCCATCTGGTCCAGGTGCCTTGTCTTTCTTTTGGCTATCTATAGCATTTATTACTTCACTCATAAGGATGTTAGGGACGTTTGAGGTTTCCTCTAAGTCGTCTTCGTCTTGAGCGATGTTGTGTTCGTATATATTTCTGTAATAAGATGTGGCAATTTGTAAGATGTTTTTTCTGTGGTGGCTGTATTCTCCGCTGAGGTTTTTAATTTTTGCGATCCAGTCTTTTGAGTTTGTTAATTCTTTGTTAGCTTTTTTAACACCTCCTGTTTTGATTACATGTTTTTCGATAATTTCCATTCTTCTTCTTTTGCTGTCTTTTCTTATGCTTTCATTGATGTCTTTACTGATTTTCGCTATGTGCTTTCTTCTGTCGTTTATATCTTTTGTGTTGATTAGCTGGTTTCTTTGTTCTAGCAATTTTATAGTACTAGTTGATAACACGTTCCTGGGATCAGGTTTTATCTTATTAATATGTTGTAGTTGAACTTTAATAGTAGTCTCTATCCAGTTATATTTTTCCTGAGTTCCTGCTATCTTTGCGTACTCTTCTAGGTCTGTAAATTTGTCCTTTAGGGTGAGTACTAGTTGCTCGTTTTGTTGCTTGCTGAGCTTGATAGTTGGTAGTTCCTGCCTCGGTCTAGAGTTTTTCGGTTGTACTGATTTTATTTCAGCTCGAATTAGTCTGTGGTTGGTATTGAAGTTGAGCTTGTTGATGACATCAAAATTTGTAAAGCAGTTGTTTCTGTTAGTAATCATGTAATCAATTTGGTTCTTTGTTTTCCCATCTGGTGAAACCCATGTCCACATCTTCTTTTTGTTTTTCTTGTATACTGAGTTTAAAATAGTTAGGTTATTTTCTAGTGTGAAGTTTATAAGTTTTTCTCCATTTCTGCTCTGACTTATAATTAGCAATGATAATATAATTAATTGAAGTTGAATGATAAATAACTATGAAATAAATTTGTCTGTACGATACGCGCGCCATCTACTGTAATTGAATTGTACTATGTCTATGACCTTCGCGCTATGGAGTGTAGTACCTCTACACTCCATACTTCGCGCAAGTGCCAGCTATAAGTTGTCAAAGTATGTATGTAACTGATGAACAGCATGGTAGCGCAAAAAATACGAACAAACAAAAACTATTTTTATATATTAGATTATTTTACTGTCAATTTTAAGAAAACATTCAACAATATACTTAAAGATTGTATTTACTAGCCATATTTATTTTATGCTGCCATCAGATGCTAGATATCTACTTTTCCCATGAAATTTTAACAAATCGTTATACCGATCGTAAACAGGCTAGTTATATGGCAATTTCTAGATGCAACTGCATAGCCGTGCAACGCAGTGCAAAGTTTCCGAGTCTATAGCCTCAAAGTAGCTTCACGTTTATTAACTCAATTGTTTGGCGATAAAGTTGAAGCAACATTGCCAGAATATACTCGACAAGGTGTTATGGACGACGCACAGCGCCAGTTTAACTGATCATTCCAACTGATCAGTTCAAACTAGGACTGTTGATATTTTTTAAAATATCGGATTTTCGATATATCGATAATGTTGTTTTTCGATTTTTTTGTAGACTGCTTAACGTACTATAAACGCCTTTTTAATCTTAATAATACTCACTTTATTACTTTATAAATCTTATCACGTGTCTTACAAGTGAGTCTAAAGCAATTAAATTATTCAGCCATGTAGACAAGATATCAAGAGGGTCTTAAGTTCTATACACCGGCACATAAATTATGATTAAGGGCTAGGTGACTAGGTCACACCAAATACGTTTTGTTTGCCTTGAAGTTCATGTGTGGTCCGATTGCGCTGGTTTTAAATACCTTCGTTGGCCTTGTGTGTATGGTAGATAATTTAGTTATATTGGATTTATTTGTTAAGCACGCGAAGAAATTTATATGATATAAACACGAAAAACGTGGACTTGAAAAACGGATCCTCAGTTAAAATCGGTTTCTTATACCTTGTCCTTATCAGAAAGTATTTTTGTTAGTTATATATTTTCACATAAAGTTTATGAAAAGAAAAAAAAAAATAGGCTGAATCATGATTTATTTTTTGTAATCCTACAAAGTTTATGAAAAGAAAAAAAAATTAGGCTGAATTATGATTTATTTTTTTTTGTAGGATTTACTACATTAGATGTCAAACTAATGTAAAACAATTCTATTCCATCATTGGATACTATTATTTAAAACAACATCAAGTGTACAACTACTGCGGTTACGAGGGATTAGTTTTGGCACAGAATAAATAATAGGTTCGATAAATCGAAGTCGCAAGCAAACATTCTCGCAGACTTCACGCAACCGTATACTGTGTAGCCTAGTCTCACGCATTCATCTGCCTGCAGTTATCAGTTTAAATATATCATTAATTTTAAATATATTAATAAACAACAACCAATTATTTCCTTCCAGGCTTTATCAGTAAGAGCTCTCCAAGAATTGGTGACAGCTGCTGGATCTGAAACTGTAAGTATCTGTAAAATTATTAGTAATTTGTTATATTATGGAACTTGTACATCCTCTGATGTGTTATACTAGTAACTGTAAATTAACTATTGAACACCTATCCTCGTGTTAAACTATTCGACTTAAATTAATTTTCAAAGTAAATTAATCTAAACTGTACTTAAAACTTACCTTTTAATTATCTGTGTAACATGTAATGTTGTGTAATGTAATGTAACGCCTGTTTGTGTAACGTTTGATTAAAAAAAGTTTCGAAGATTTTATATCACGTTGGATTGATTTTTGATTTTTCATCAAAATAACATGCTGAGCCATTATTACATGTAACACAGTCATTTCTTTTTAAGAAAGATTTTTAGTTGCAAATCTGTTGAATGTTTTTTTTTAATTTCAACACATTATGTTTTAATATTGATAATTTTGTAATTAACTCATGTTCTATTGTGATTAATATACCCTTTTAAGTATTGCCTTCGTGTTTAAATTTTCCAGGGCAAAGAAAATTTAGTAGTGAGTATATACGCGGGATTTCGGTAATTCTTGCATGCGATGTCATTCTCATTGCGATTGGAAAACTTTCAACTAAATTAAATCTTAAACGTCATTCTATGCATATAAATTGTTTTTCTTTTACACGTGAGATTTTATTAATGCCTATTTTGAAATTTGCCCTCATAAACTAATATTTACCAACAATGGCATCGAAACCTTTACTGTATTTTTCATAATCATTATCATTTTTGCTCTAATATGTTTTACGTCATTCTTTAAAAGCTTTAACCAGCAGTTATCAAGCTGATTGCAATCTGTTTGCGGATAACTGGATGATATTATATTTAAAATGCATGAAGATTTGTATAATTAGTTTAAATGAAAACAAAAAACTAATAATAAAATAGACAGCAGATAGAAAAAATATCAGCAACAGAACCAGAGTAACCGACATAGTCCAGCGGATCCATAAGCTGAAGTAGCTTTCACTGCCTAGTTGGCCGTAAAGCGCGAGTGCTTATCATGAGATCGGTCTAAATCAATTATTGTGTTTTGGTGTCAAGAAATACTTAATAACAGCCTAAGGTTAGGAAGTAAGTTGGTGGTGTTCACCTCCGTGCCTCATAAAGCACGTAAAGCTGTTGGTACTGCACTTGATCTATCTCCGGTTGCGTCAGATTTTGGTCCCATCGGACTACGAGTGTGAAGAAATGTAGAATGCATTTTTGTTTGCACAATATTGTGCGGAGATGGCTATCCTCCGCTGGGACTGGTCGTCGTAATCGAAAACTAAATTGGCAATATGAATGGGCCGGTCATATAGCTTGAAGAACTGCCAATTGATAGGGAAGAAAGATTTCGGCCCCTCACTAAATGAAGTGACGACCTGGTAAGAGATGCAGGAAGTCGAAGGATGCAGGAGGCTCAGAACCGTGCTTTGTGGCATTCCTTGGGGGAGGCCTATATTCAGCAGTGGACTTGTATAGGGCTGTAATGGTAGATAATAAAAAAAAAGAAATTAGATATAAGATATAAGTGCAATAAAATTTATTCTTGTTAGTATATCAAACGGTTTGAGACTTATAAATGCAAAGCATCTCGAATAAAGTAACTGTCACATCCTTTTTTGGTAATAAAACACCTTTTTTAGGATTTCATCTTTGTTTATGTAATATATTATATAGGTGCGGCTAGTATAATAAACTCAACCATCGTTTCATTGCTTTGCATCGTCTCACAGTAAATCAAAATTGATATAACACACCTAAATATATTAGAGGTCATATCCTTAAACAAAATTAATAACCTTGCTGACACGTAATAAAGTTTTGAACTAATATTTTAATAACCCGTTACGGTTCAATTTTTAACTGTTTTCTAAAATTTGAAGCATCATTTCAAAACCATTGGAATTGAGAGCGTGCGCTTACCTGCGATAATTAAAACTAAAAAAGAACTGCTTACTGAAGTGTGCTCAGATTTATTTAAGATTATCAGTCAATCAATACTTCTAACATTATGAGGTATTGCTTTAAAAAAAACAGCCTAAAAGTCACAGTCCGTGATCAATGTATATAGCCAGCTTAGTTTGACCTGAATGTCCGCTTTATTGAATTTGTTAATTACATTAAATATAATCTGTGATTATAAGTATACCGGTAAAACGGCGAAAGAAAATCTTCTATTTCAGAAATCTGAAACACGATTTGGGCAACAGCAGTAATAAAAATAACTGTGGTTGCCAATCCACCTCCCAAGCGTGGCAAATATGGCAAATGTCCTCCCCATTAAGGATAAGCTGTACATAATATAGTAATCTTTATCCAAGGACTTCATTCAATATTTTATGGCAATTTCTCAAGACGCGGACTTTCGAAAAGGTCGTACGAACAAGGAAAATGGTACAGACTATAACAGTATTTATATATTCTGTGGTATTGCTGTTTGGAACAGTTCTGATAAAAAAAATAATGGCTATAATATATGAAATAATAAAATTTAAATTAATAAATTGTTCTTGAAGTATATAACGATTTTATTGTATGAAAAGTTGTGTTAAGCTAAGTATACGAAGTTACTATTTCATAACGTAAACTCTTTATTGGGAATGCAATTGGGATTAAATAAATAATAAAAACCCGCATTCTACGCGGGTTTCTTTACCTTTCTCCTGAGTTTTTCGTCTGGCTGGGATAAATTTATTTTAATTTCTCTATTAGTTAAAATAGTTCTGCAGCTAATAGAGTTTCTTCTAGCAAACTTCTGTATAGAAAGGTAAGTTACAACCAACCAGGCGAGAATACTAAAATCATAAATGAGAAATAAATAAAAATAAATATAGGAGGGAAAAACAGGGCATAGGTGTTATATTAATATTAAATATTAGCCATAGTATCTCGAGATAGAAAAAGCCAACTAAGAATATTTTTATTTTTGGTGCGTATAACACGATACAGTGCAAGTCACGATTTGCCGACACTAAAGTCCGAGGAGGAGAGTGTAGAACGACCACATGGTCAGTTCAACTGATCAGTTCAAACTAGGACTGTTGGTATTTTTTAAAATATCGGATTTCGGAGTTCGGCCGCGTTGACACGATTAAAGTCTGCTTTGACGAAGTGGTTTTGATGACTTCTTTGGCGCTACTTTGATAGTGTAAACGAGCAATCAAAGCGCACTTTGACATGGGCGTAAATCAAAGTTAATTTGGACTGTGTTCTACTTTCAAGCCAACTTGGATGTCAAAAAACGAAACAAATGGCGTCAGATGTAAAAACAATGGCATTTCGTAATAAAAGAAAGTGGATACTCTCAAATTCGTATAATTATATGAGGCAGAAATAGTTGTTTGGGACGTGAGGCTCAAAGAATACAAGAACAAGGATGCCAGAAACGCGGCGTTGTGTAGCGGGATCCTCCTGTTCCACTGCCCAAAGAAAATTATTAGATGCTCCCAATTAATCGCGACGTAAAATTCAGAAGCGAGTCCAAATTCTCCTTTTGCGAGAATTTATTTTTTTACTCGTTTAAGCTCTTGTATTAACAAGATTGCGATATTCCTAACTTTTGTAACAAATCTGTCTCGTCAGACGTATTTTTATAGGTGTTGTTACTCTCGAAGGACGGTAAATATGAACAAACTGATCCAAGTCAACTATGTACGTGTCAACCGGTATCAAAGTGAACCTTGATCAAAGCTATATTGTCAAAGTTACTTTGTCAAAGCAGACTTTGATCGTGTCAATGCGGCTTTATTTAAAGTACTCTAGGTAACATTAGTGTGACTTCTGTTGTTTCAGATTAGATGACAAATAACTTATAATGGGGTTGTAAAATCATAAATATAACACAAATGAACTTTTACACACAGTTCTGTCACGGTAATATTATCTATACAGTATTGTAACTCGGCCGTATCTTTCAAATAAATACCTACAGCCGCGCGGTACGTAAACATGCGATAGGGCTGCCTGCCTCCAGCATTTTTACATTTGCCTACTTTGTGTTTCCATTTAGTTTTATGATTGTAAATATACTTTTTTATATAAACAAATATAAAAAATGTAAATCTATAAAGGCTTCTATATTACATGATATGTTCAAAACTTGTTTATATATATTGGTAAATGTACAAGCTGTAGATTCTGTTTCAATAAAAAAAAATAGGTACTTTGTGAATTGAATAGGAAGTGTTCAATAACAATGCGTGTCGTTTTTTGATTGGTAGATTTAATTAAAAAACCATGTTTATGTTTGAATAACAAATCGGTGTTATTAATTTGCGACCAAAAAATATTTGCGCCTCGGCTGAGACTTACGAAATGTTTTATTAATAAATTTGTAAATATAAAAAATCCGCTTCCTAATATAAAGCTTAATTAAAAATTGTTTTGCGAAACATGGACAAGGTGAAGAAAATGAATATCTTTTAGTTGGTTATAGATACCTGCAGCTACTTTACAATTTATATGTTTGGTTTTAAATGAAGTTCGGATTTATTATTTCTTTATTTTTATTCTATTATTTATTTCCTCCATTTTTTTTATATATTTCACAAAATCATCACTGCGGCACAGTCTCGACTGTCTGCATGCCGAGCGCATGCCGAGATCGAGGCGCGTAGGCATAGCTCTCGCTTCGTCCGTTTGTATGAAGTTGGAATACTGTATAGATAAAATTACCGTGGTTCTGTCAACGAAATTGACTATTATGCTATGTTTAAATGAACTATGCATTCCTTAAGGGGAGGCGTGGACTTGTGAAGGACTGTAATGATGATGATGATGAAACGAACTGTGCGTCATTAGCAATAGTAGTCCACGATGTAGCTAGGATCACTGGCGTTCGTTCATAATAAATACTTCATAGTGAACTTGGTGTTTGGTGGCGTGCCCAAAATATTGTGTCTCGTGCCATTGGTTCGCCATCCCAGCTCTACGGGCTGCGGTAGCCACTTACCATCAGGTGGACTATAAGTTCACGTTACACTACAGTTCGATAAATAATAAATAGCTAAAAATATAATAAATAATTTCTTATGTATTTTATTTCATTTATAAATAGTGCATGTTATACTTAGTTTTAGTTTATGTATTATAAAAACTTTTAGACTGAGATTTCGTTAATGTTATGTGAATTTAAGATTTTTTTGAAGATATATTGCATTATAAATATAATGATGTGTCATAAAATTGAAATTACTGTTATTTATAATTAAAATAAAAAAATGTACTGTAATAAAAAAATTAAATACTTACCTAATATAATATAGTAAACAGTAAAATATCTTTAAAAAGAGACTAGTAAACCAAAAACGATTGTTGTTGACGAAATTAAATTCTGGCATTAGGCTAGTGCGGCGTTTGCCTTCCCATTTGGCCTCTCAGATTGATCCTTGTGACCAAATGAAATTCCCTATGATTTTGAGTTGTAAGGTCCATACTATTTTATCTCATACAAACTTATCACTCTGGTTTCAGGGAAAAGGCACCGGTTCGGGTCACCGAACGTTGCTGTACGGTAATGCTATTCTACTGCGGCATCTCAACAGTGACATGGTAAGATTTCAAAAAAAAAACTACTACTTACGTTTTTGTTATATTAAAAAAAAAACATTACTTCCAGTCTAGGTAAATCGCTTTTACGATGGAGTTGTTTTACCTTCATAAATTGCACATGGTTAAAGAGTCATACCAATTTTTTTCCGCTGGAAAATTTTCTTTTCTTTTCGTCCGCTGGAAATCGAAGCTGCGGTCCGCAACCACGTAGCCAAATGCTAGGCCAGCCACTGTACTACCGAACCTCAGTACTGTCACAATATTTTCTCTCTTCTTTAATTAGAGTCTAGGCTAATGGCAAACGCCAGTAAAGATATTGTAGCTTCCAACTTCCTGTCTTGTTGGTCTAGTTATCGTAAGCACGATTACTATTAAAATTGCTGTTGTGAATTCTACCGCCACGTTAGGTTGAAATCAGTTCTTGTATACTTCCGTCATGTAATTCTCAATTGATTCCGGTGAGACCGGAAAGAGATCAGGCGCCGGATTTTCCGTCTCATTGGATTATGACAGTAATAATTTGGGAATATAATGCACTTGTGCTTACACTTGTGCACTATAATCTTGTCCTACGCAGATGTGTCTGGCGGCCGTGACCGAAATTGTGTCTGAAGGACGTTAATCTTTAGGTTAACGAGCTGGAAGACACTCACGGAGTAAAAGGAAGCAGGTGGCTTAAGACCATATATATTTGTTTTTAAAATGGGCTTATTTAAAACGATAAACTTTGAATGTGGTGCAATGATGACGATGATGATCATAAACGAAGCAAAATAATGATGAATATATTTTTTATGCGTAAGTAAGCCTTGCAGTAAGTAATACCGTGGCCAAAAATTAGAACTAAATATTTTTGATAGGGGTTCTTGCGAGGATGTTAATTTGTGGCGGAAATTCTCATGCTCAAGGATGTTAATTTGTGGATGGAGATTTGATGCCAAATGTCAATGCTATATGCTAAAATCATGACATACCAAAAAAACCTTATGGCTTACGACACATGGCATATTAACCCTAACAACCACCATTTCAATTAGTATCATTTACTTCAGAGTAGATATGACTCATGACCGGGTCGCGTAAAATTATTGATGATTGCAATAATTTTTTTAAAGATCCGGGACAAACAACGATTGACAGAACCTTTTTACCTCTGACCTGTGATTGACTCTTTTGGCGTATATCGCTAATTGTGCGGCTTTTTTAAAATAAACATGAGTACTGTACTGTACTCATATTCTCGTCGATGTGCTGTAAAGTACTCGAAACTCTGGGAATATAGAATAAGTCATATACGCAATAAAATCCGTATAAATTAATTTAATTTAAATGTGTACTGTTATTGTATTTTTTATAAATAACATTTTCTAACTTTTTATTCGTATTCCATTTATGTTAATTGTTTTTTAATAGTATCTGGCATGTCTATCCACTTCGTCGTCGCAAGATAAGTTGGCTTTCGACGTGGGTCTGCAAGATCATTCCCATGGAGAGGCTTGTTGGTGGACTCTCCATCCGGCTAGCAAACAAAGGTTTGTAATTAGCTTTCTATATTTGAATACGATGTAACTTTGACATGATAATACCTAACATGATATTTTTATCGTGGGGAAGTCTTCATGGATCAAGTATCCATGAGGATTTTTACTTCTACCGGCTAAAATACCACAATGGTCACCATAAGCGAAAACAAAGGACCCGGCATCTTAGTTCGGAACGCTAACTTTACCTGAGCACTCGCTATGAATTCCACAGTTCGTGAGCATCGGATTCGATACTCGCCGCCTCCAGTGAAATTGTAAATTGCAATTTTAAGATATCTGATTCACCACGTGCCCGGTACATGGAAACCAACGTGTCTGAGGAATAAAACATTTCGAGGACATGTGAAGTTCGCCAAATTGTACTGGAGCAGCTCGGTGGACTATCGCTCCATAAGTCTCTGAGGAATAAGCGGTCTGTGCGCAGCAGTGGGATGTATAGTGGGATGTATAGTAAGATGTAAGGCTCTACCATTACAGCTCATCAAAAGTCCACTCCTGAGAATAGGCCTCTTCTACACGAAATCTATGTTCCTTCATTAATCGCTGTAAATTTACATTCACTTAATTCTTCAAGTTCAAGTCCAAAGTCTTCAAAGAAAAGTTTCTGTGTATGACAAAGGCAAGAAAGTCGGCTCGCCCGAGAAAGGACCACTCTCTCACAGAATACCAACGCAAAATAGTAGCTTAATGCCGCCTTGTACGTACGTACAAGCGTTTATTAAGCGTACGTTGTGCGTTGTACGAGACGTACCACCTATGCCCTCAAGGATGACAACGTATTTGCATTTTGATTTCGCGTTAGGTGTCTATGGGCCAATGCATATACTTACATAAACTGCATTGTTTTTCACCCTTACTTCTATGAAAAAGAGTCATTTTTATTTATCATAATATAACATATTTAAAGAAATAACATACTAATTTTTATTTCAGATCGGAAGGTGAAAAGGTGCGAGTTGGTGACGATTTAATTTTGGTGTCCGTTGCTACTGAAAGATATTTGGTAAGTTGAAATATTTTAATCAAACAGATAAATAAAATAATTCTGAAACTACATCGATAATCCGATACCAATTTTGTTTTGTTAATTAACGTAATCACTAAGGTTTGTTTATAAATATAAGTGACGGTTAAATTTAATATTATTTAAATAATTACAGATACATCTAATGTTAAAAATCGATAAACGGTAACAAAACTGAGTGTTTAAATAACTTAGTTCAGTTCGCTGTGGGCACTTGTCCGCTATAGTCGCGTTGTTTTTTCTCGCTGAGCAGTCTTATCTCCGGAAATATTTCGCGCTATTGTGTACATAACTACACACATCGTGCAATGGTGAATAGACGCATACGATAGTGTACCTTATTTAACATGGAGGAAGATATAATTCAAGAAGATAATGTGATTAATAATATTCTACCCGGGATAAGTAATGTTGAGGAGTCGGAGATTTGTTTAGTGGAGAAGAATACTACACAACGAGAGGAAGAAATGCTTGAGGACTCTAGTTCTAGAGTTAGTCGTAATAAGAGACCGCGGGAGGAGGATGAGGAAGAAGAGTGGATAGCGGTAGGAAGAAATGGAAAGAGAGTGGGACAGAAGGTTGATGTGTACATTAATAATTCCGAAAAGCTACCGAAGCAATTCGCGCTTGCTAAGTTATTAAGGTCAAATAACATTAGTAGTGTTAGCCGGGTAAAATATATAAACCCCTACAAAGTGTTCATACAGTTTGAAAATGCAGGAAGTGCTGAGGAGTTGATCAATTGCAAACCTTTGCAAGATTTAGGTTGGAGATGCCAAAAACCACTTGAAGTTGTTATATCTTACGGCGTTATTAAGAATGTAGAATTGGACTTGAGTGAAAAAGACATGTTAGAAGTTATTTCAAGCAATTGTGAACTGATAGCGGTAAAACGTTTAAAACGCAGGAATAAGGACGGTAACGGCTGGGAAGAAAGTGAGTCAATACGTCTGGGGTTCAAGGGTCCCTCACTACCAACGTGTGTCTACATCTACGGCATGAAGATAAATGTCGACCCGTACGTGTTCCCAGTTACCCAGTGTTCCAGGTGCTGGCGATTTGGGCACTCCTTGCGTGTTTGTCCAAGCAAAAAGGTTGTGTGCCCTAAGTGTGGCAAGGGTCACGCTAACTGTGAGACTACCTCATATAAATGTGTGAATTGTACAGGAAACCATTTATGCCTGGATAGATCGTGTCCTGCGTTTAAAAAAGAGAAACGAATTCGTGAATTGATGGCAGAGTTTAACTGCTCTTATAGGAAGGCGTTGCAAGTATATGTTCCACCAGAACCCGCCCCTACACTGCGCTCAGAACGATTTAATTTAACTTCACCGGCAAGCCTTAGTGTGTTTCCCGAGTCTGTACCTGAACACGTACCTAATCAGTCACAAGACATAAACGTTATTTCCTATGCAAGCGTGACCCGAGCGCCGCGTTGTGATAGTATCATTCGACAATCACAACCTAAGCAACCGGGCTCAACAATTTATATTAGAACAGAGACCCAAGAAGAAAAAGAATAAGAAAAAGAAACAAAGTCAAAATGAAGTGTATAACAGGGATGTATCTTCGGAATCAGAAACAATGAATAGTAATTTAGTCGATGAGTCGGAAAATGAAATTCGGTTGAGAAATGAGAGAAAAGAGAAATGCAGATCTAGTTTAAATTTGAAGCAATTGCTTGCAAAATTATATGCATTAATTTCTAACTCACAAGAAGATTTAAAGAGTAGAATAATTCAAGGAGTGTCACTATGCATTGAATGGTTGGTATCGATGGTAGGGGAATACATCTGGGACCTTCCTTTTAAAAATATACTCGGTAAGTTATGGGTATAAGCTCCCAAATAAACCTTCTCCAGTGGAATTCACAAAGTGTTAAGCCTAAATATGTAGAATTTGAGCAGTTATTAAATAGTGAAAAAATTCATATAGCTGCTATATGCGAAACATGGTTAAATAGTGAGGTTACTTTTAGAATAAGTGGTTATAATGTTTTCCGTCACGATCGAGAAGACTCGTATGGAGGTGTCGCTATTATAGCCCACAAATCCGTTAAGGCGCAACTAATCCCTGTTCATTTTTCAAATCCTAGTATTGAAGTAATTTGTGTAAAAGTTTTCAACTGTAAATATATTGATTACATATTTTCTATCTACTGCCCACCAACTATACGAACTTCTCAAAGTGACTGGGATGAAATATTTTCGTTTAAGACGAGTAAAACACTTGTACTTGGTGACTTTAACGGCCACCATTCCAGTTGGTCTTGTAAGACTGATTTGAGAGGTAGCAATATTTTTGATTCTTTGTTAGAAAATAATTTTGTTTCATTGAATGATAGTCGAGCTACGCGTGTTAAATTTGTCAACGGGAAATTGCAGGAATCTTCTCCTGATATTTCTATTGCATCTTCGGACATAGCCTTGCACTTGAACTGGAAGGTAACTAATGAGACATTAGGTAGTGACCACTTAATTATTAAGATTTATATTTCTTATAGTAACAATAACTCGCCATTTATTCAGAGGAGAAACTTTAAAAATGCTAACTGGGATGGTTATCGTAAGTATATTAAAGATAATCTCTCAAATTATAACCTGCTTGTTGATGACCCGCAAACAAGTTACGATTCGTTCCTTAGCATAATTAACGAAGCCGCTGATGTTCACATTCCTTTGTATAGATTTAGCCAAGACCCCTCTCAACATTTTACTCCCAAACACTATTGGAATCCTAAGCTATCAAAAGCTGTTGCAGAAAAACGGCTAGCACTTACGTTGTTTCGAAAGAATCCCACCCCTGGTAATTTGAACAAATTGAAAGATAAAATCAGAATTTCACAATTATTACTACGACAGGCTAAAAACAAATCATTCTCTAATTTTTGTTCTTCAATTGATGAGGCTACTTCTGTAACAGAAATGTGGCGCAAGATGAAGTGGTTAAAGGGTTATAGATCATCTAATACTTTTATTGACGAAGTAACGGCTAATAAGCTTTTACATAATTTAACACCAGATTTTGTCTGTCCAAAGTACCCCATTTTTTCATCTTGTAATATAAAACTTGAGGCTCCATTTTCATTATGTGAACTAAAAAAGATGCGTTAAAGCAAAAGATACTTCACCCGGAGTCGACAATATTTCGTACTCAATGATTAAATATTTACCGGATAACGCTACAAATATTTTACTTAATCTTTACAATTTATTTTACACTCTCAGTTTTGTCCCCTCGCAATGGCGTGAAATTCTTGTTATACCTATATCTAAACCAGGTCGGGATCCATCTTCAATAGCAGCTTTAAGACCAATCTCTCTCATGTCTTGTTTATGTAAAATATTACACTCTATGTTGAAGAATAGATTAGAGTGGTTAGTCGAGAAAAGAAACCTCTTTCACGAAGAGACCACCGGGTTTAGAAAAACCAAGTCTTGTATTGATAACCTTAGCAATTTAGTTTCTAGAATTCAGCTGGGATTTTCGAAAGATCAATTAACGGTAGGATGCTTCATTGACATTGAAAATGCTTATAACAACGTGGATATTAGAGCCTTACTTTTAAATTTAGATCGCCTAGGCGCTGGTGCAAAAATCTGTAAATACTTATGGACATTTTTAAAGGAAAGACAACTAAGCATAAAAGTTGATAAAAAAATAATCTGTAGATCTACAGGTCGTGGCCTGGCCCAAGGAGACTCTCTCTCACCTATATTATTTAATATTGCTACTCTCCATATATGTAAACAAGTTTCTAATGTTATGATTTCTCAATATGCTGATGATTACGCTTTATATTTGACTAGTAAAAATGTCAACGACGCATCCGAAGAACTGCAAATAGCATTGAATAAAATAAGCAACATGCTTATTGATCTGGGTTTGGACATTTCAACAACCAAAACAAAGGTATGTGTCTTCAAGAAAGGCATCAATAGACAACAGATATCGCTAAATATTAATAATAATGTAATAGAGGTAGTCAGTGCTGTAAAGTATTTGGGGATGTGGTTGGACCGCTCTTTAAAATGGAATAAACACATTACTGAGTTAGTTGATAAAACTTCCAGATACTTAAATATTTTTAAAGTTCTTGCTGGGACAGGGTGGGGAATACACCCTAAAGATTTGAAAAGGTTATATATTGCTATTATAAGGAGTAGATTTGATTACGGAAGTTTTTTATACGACAACAGCTGTCAAAATTATGTAAGTAAGCTAGATATAGTGCAAAATCAAGCGCTGAGAGTAATGGGAGGTTTTATTAAAACAACTCCTATACATGCAATGGAGAGCGAACTTGGTCTCCCTCCATTGCACGTGCGGAGAACGTATTTAGGAGGTAAATTTATATTAAAAGCTAGGTCACGAGAAAACAATATTACAATTAAAATATTACGAGAATTATCGACATATAAAGACAACAGATATTGGCGGAATAAAAAGAAGCCACTATTGTTAACTATGTTTGATTGTCTTTCTAATGTTTATATTCATGCCAGCCGACAACTAGAAATGTTTTCTATGAATACCTGGGTTACCAACATAGATTTGGATGATGTAATTCACTGTAATATCCCGAATCTTGTTAAAAAAAAGCGAAGCTACAGTAATTTTAATTTAAAGTTATTATGCTTGGATTTTATTAACCAGCGATATAAAAACTATTATAAACTCTATACTGATGGATCTAAGGATGGGAGTGGAATTGGTTCAGCATTTTATGACCCACAATGCAACATTAGTCTACAATTAAAAATAGACAGTGACATAATATGCATTATGGAGGCGGAACTAATAGCAATCTGTGAGGCTTTGTCTTACGCAATATCGCTACCACAAGACCATATAGTGATATTCACAGACTCTAAAAGCGCACTCCAACACTTGGCTCGGTGCACCTCGGGCCTACGAGGCACTCCGATAGCCTACTCAGTCCTGGACTGTATTTTAAATCTGACCTCCAATTCTAACTCTATAAAGTTACAGTGGATTCCGTCACACTGTGGCGTTGAATATAATGAAAGGGTAGACGTCTTGGCTAGACAAGCTATTACTGAGGGAATTGAATATAATGTACTCCCTTATTATACAGATTGCATTTGGTTAATCAAAACACAATGCTACAAATTATGGAAGGAATATTTTGATTTACGCTCCAAAGAAAAAGGTATCTGGTATAAAACGGTTCAGCCACATCCTCTCAGAATTCCATGGATTGATAGTCACATATCACCAAGAAAGGACGCAGTAGTGATTATGAGGCTACGTTCTGGACACATTCCATGCAAGAATTTTGCTTTTCTTATGAATAAAGTCCCGTCACCGAACTGTGAACAATGCGGTGTCCCCGAGGACTTAATGCGTGTCTTGATGGAGTGTGCCCGCAATGCTGCCTTTCGAATAGCTAAGTGTAAAAATATTTTAAAGGAATTTGCTGATTGTAACATTATTTTATCCAATCCTCATTCCGATGAAACAAAATTATTGACTAAATTATATAACATAATATTTTCCTCAGATCACTCAATTAGATAGTACTTGTTTTCATTTTCATTTTTGTTTGCTTGCTAAATGGAATGTTATTTAGTTCTAAATGATGTCAAATAGAGCGACATAATCGCATTTTGATTAAGCTCTTAAATAAAGATTAAAAAAAAAAATAACTTAGTTCGACATTTTTACTCTATACTTATACAAATACAATCGATATTATTGATAATATGGCCATTATATCTTCAATTTAAACCGATAGCATCAAATCGAGAGTATGAATATCAGGATCTGCTATCTATGGGATAGATATATAGACGACAAATCAATTCTTTCCGTCTTATAGTACTATAAGACAGAAAAAAATGTGTTGCCGTAGATAATTGTTGTTGTGAAAGGTCCATCTCAATCAGTCTATCATTTCATCTATATATTTTGATTTTCCAGCACACTACGAAAGAAAACGAGGTGTCGATTGTCAATGCGTCGTTCCACGTAACTCACTGGTCTGTTCAGCCTTACGGTACCGGTATATCCAGGATGAAGTACGTAGGATACGTATTTGGAGGCGACGTGCTAAGATTCTTCCATGGCGGTGACGAGTGTCTCACTATTCCCAGTACATGGAGTAAAGAGGGTGGACAGAAGTGAGTAAACATTTTTATTTTGAGGCGTGTACTAAGGTCACTAGATAAGTCCTGCAATACAGCTTTATTTATTAAAATCTTTCAAAATAATTACACGCTTATTCATTCGTATAAAGCAATCATTAAAAATTTGCTTCCATTTTTCTTCTGGAAGATCGAAGCGAACCTGGTCCCAAGCAGCTAACAACTCCGTGTCGTTGGCAAACCTCCTTCCCTCGAGCTGGTCCAATCTTCCAGAGACTCATTAATTGAGAGACCGCGCGCATAGTTGTACCGCATAACAACCCGTAACTTGTCCTTTGAGCACTCCAGACATTTTTATAAAATCCAAAAATTTCTGTGCAATTGCTAGAGAGTGACTATTGAAACGTTATGTCTGTAGTATAATAAGTGTAATTTTTTTAGTAAGACTATACTCATTTAAACATAATTAAAATGTTGCTGTATTGCAAAATTTATCTAGTGTGTGTAATGATATTGATTAAATTCGTAAATCTCGATCCGGTTCGAAATACCATAATATTGAAATTTTAAAAATATATATTAAAACAAATAAGAAGATTTACTGGTACATATTATTTTGTTAAAATTAAACTGAGTGATCATGAATATAATTTTAGTGTAAATGCATCACCATTTTCTCTAAAATGATATGGATGGTTGCCAAGTGACTGGAAAGTGAAAATCGTTGCATTACATTTTAATTAACATATCTGTTTCCTTGTGTAACTCTACAAGTTTTGGCACTGATAAATATTTTTATTTCTTTTTTAAATGCTAGTTTTAAAGACGTTAATCTTAATAAGCACTAGGGTTAATTTCGATAGCGAACACTTCAACTTTGTTTGTCCTCTCAAATTTTTTTTTATAAAAGTGTGTAACGGATTATTGCGTTGTTACAAAAGAATATAATGAAAATAAATTGATTTCAGTATCGTGGTATACGAAGGAGGTTCTGTGATGTCCCAAGCTCGTTCTTTATGGCGGTTAGAGCTCGCCCGTACTAAGTGGGCCGGCGGTTTTATAAACTGGTACCATCCTATGAGGATCAGACACATCACCACTGGCAGATATTTGGGGGTGAACGATCAAAACGAATTATATTTGGTCAGCAGGTAAGATTATTTTATAGAAAACATCATTAGTTTACTGCACGAATTTAAACCATATACTGTTGTAATAAAGAACATACTCTGAATCCACACATATTGGGATAATTTAATCTCTATGTATTGGCGTAAGAGAATCCAGTACCACATATTATCCAGTGGCGAAGCCTCTATAGAAGCCGAAAAGCCGGGCTTGCCTTATCAAACTGAATCAATTAATAATATCAATCAATAATATCAACTAATAAAATAACTCGTAAACTGTTTCAAACTATTTCAAATTTCCCGCGCACTCCACTGTTCGACACAGGTCGACCGATGACCTCGTATTGCCTTAGCGATACTGCTGCTATCATAAAAAATGAGTTTTAATTCAGCGATTAGTTGTCTCCCTCGCTCGCGTGGGCTTTTTACGGGCCTTTCGAGAAGACGATCGCTCTCTTTCTAACCTATGGCAAAATATTCTATAATGAAATATAAATACGATTGTATATATAGCAATTAGTATAGAGAGTTAATGCCAGGCTTTTGGAAGGAAGTTGTCGAGAGCGGAGGCGCGCGGGCAATACGTTTGCAAGTTCATTTCACATTTCAATGTTTATTTACTCTGTGTGTTTAGCGTAAGCGATTTTAATATTGCGAGTTGAAAATTTATGCCTTTTTAAAGATTTTTTGTGAAAATGGAGGATAATAGTGTTTCTTGTGATGAATTGAAGTGTGTTAAAGTGCTAATTGGAGAGGAAAAGGTAAAATCTTTAAACTTTGTTGAGATATTACACAAGGTCAAGAGTGTATTTCAGACTTGTCAATTATCGCAATTAAAAAATAGTTATTGGTATAATTAAGACGTTTACCAACATTTTACGTGGACGTAATTAAATCTTTCCTTAAGAAAGAGAGACGATTCCATTTAGAATGTGAATAATTAGTTTTTTTTTTAATTTTGTACATAGTTTGTTTGTACTTTGTTCATGTTTTACTTTTGTTCATGTATTGTATTGTATATAAATATCTTTTTCTTTCGTTCAAACAAACCCAAACGGCTTTCTTCAAAGCCACCGAAGCTATGCAATTACTGATATGTAATACAATCTATCTAGCTGTGGTATGCCTTCTGTGTGCTTTGTTGAACACGTCCTTAACAGCACTGAATATGAAACTGAAGAGTGGAGACTGATCAAGATTGGTGTATTTTTATAAAACGCTAAAAACAACAATTTAAATTTTCATCAATTTATATCTTGGGCTTGCCCTAGTTTGGAGCTCTAGCTTCGCCACTGATATTATCTCGTGGGTGTGGTATGCAGGAGGTAACAGTCAAGTAGAGACAACAGAGGAAAATAAATCAAGAGGTGGTTAGCAGCATCTTCGACGGTATGCGCAGTGGCTTAGCAATGAGTTACAGCGCTAAGGGCCGCGGGTTCGAATCACGCACGGAATAAGTATTTGTATGGCCTACCAGTAATTATTCCGGGTCTGAATGTTTGTCGATGTTTTTGTTTATGTTTATATTGTATGTCCAAATTTATGTTTGTAAACTGCCCCAACGATGCAGGAGAAAATCCTAGTGTGCAGGTAACGTTTTAAAAAAATGAAAAAAAAAATCTTCCTGACAACAGAACAACAAAAAAGCTACGATTGTCAACCTGCCTACCAAGTGTGGAAACTGATGATAAAAAAAAGTAAAAAGAAACTATGGTTGCTATTTCGCCTGGCAAGCATGGTAGTTATGACAAACATTCCTCTATAAGCCATTTATGGGAGAGGTCTATGTTCAGAAGTGGACTTTTAAAAGACTGTAATAAATAATGTAATTACAACAATGAGGACAATTATATTTTTAACACACATATGTTTTGTGGAACAATTACATCATATCAAGAAATGGGTTGATCAACTCTTCGACGCCTTCAGCTAAATGCAAAAAATAAAAATATTTTTTAATTATTTTACATGGTTACAACTAATGGCATTGTCATACTAATTTTTATTTTTCAGAGAAGAGGCGACAACGGCTTCGTGCGCTTTCTGTCTACGTCAAGAGAAAGATGACCAGAAAGTGGTACTTGAAGACAAGGATCTTGAAGTCATCGGAGCGCCAATAATTAAGTACGGTGATTCCACCGTCATCGTTCAACACTCGGAGACTGGCCTGTGGTTATCTTATAAGGTGATTTAAGGACTATTTATTACAACCTTTTAATTTAACTCGACCTGTATTGGTGATGAATGTAATGAAATGGTGTAATTCTGTTTACACTATTCAGTTTACACATTTAATGAGTGTTGCTTATTTTTTAAGCTCTAACAAATTTATTATATACTAGCTGTACCCCGCGGTTTTACCCGCGTATATCAGTGGGCCGCGCGGCAATTTATTTTTTGACATAGACTCCCCTCCCACACCCCAGTGACACCCGCATCGCATGGTGCTGGCAGTGTACGCGATATAAAGATTTTTCGACGTTACTATTGAATATTTTAACATGGAAAAGTAGTTATTGTGAGATAACTATAATAGTTAGACATATGGTATTGCAGACTTTTATGTAGCTATTGATGTCCTCCATAAAACTGTAACACATCACTTTGCTCTATTGTCAATAGTTTCCTCAGCGTACGCGATATAAGGTTTTTTTTTTTTGGTATTTTTTTTCACACCTTGGGTTACATTAACGAAGTTGATTCATACGGATCCCTAATTTTTTTGAAAACGTTCTATTTAATCGCCATGTTCATCGGGGATAATGTAATGATTTAATGGTGTAATTTTCAAGTTCAGTGTTTAGGCACTATTCAATTCAACAACCAAACAATTAATATGCTTTCCTCTTTACTTAAAATTTATTGTATATTAAATTCTATAATAGCCGTCCGTCATATTTAAAAATGAATAAGCGACTCTCTGAGTTAATGTAAGTGCGGTGAAACAAGGGTTGCACATGTGAAATAATTTTCCTCGTAAGTTTCAAATACACGCATAAAAATAAAATGTCTGTCTGTAATAGACTCGAAAGGACTGTCTTTTTTAAAACTAAATGGAATATCTGCATCTCATTAAGGAATGAAAAACCATTTTAATGAAATTTAAATAAAGTTTTTCTTTTCGGAATGGCTGAATCGACTGTAATGAAACTTCAAGAAACACAATGACAGGAGTGATTTAAGCCATATTTTATCAAAAACTCTAAACTAATAAACCACACTATTTGTAAAATATTGATAAGTATTTTCTAAATCTAATTTATGGTATAATATTTAGAAAATTATCAATGCCTTTCAGTCGTACGAGACGAAAAAGAAAGGCGTTGGTAAAGTTGAAGAGAAGCAAGCTATCTTACACGAAGAAGGCAAGATGGACGACGGTCTTGACTTCTCCAGATCACAGGAAGAGGAGTCGAGAACTGCTAGAGTTATTAGAAAATGCTCCTCTTTATTCACAAAGTTTATTAAGTAAGTAAAAACTAAAACTTGTTTTTATCAAATATTAGACTTCCTGTCAGGTTTAGTTTGTAGATAACTGGCAGTTTTTTAACATTTGATTTAGTTTTTAGCAAAATATATTTATAGAGAATCATAAACCGAACAAACCGTGCAGTGGTGACGTTAGAATGTCAACAATTTCAAATTGCCCTGTGTCGTGTTGTTAGTGACGATAGAGGGCCAAGCCAGGAGATGAGCAGTAGCGTCTCCATAACAATAAAAAATAAAAAAAAAACTGCGGCTAGCAACCAGCCTGCCAAACGTGGCGACTATGGCAAATATCCCCCCCTATGAGACAATATAGGGGGGGATTATATATATATATATATATATATATAATATGTATTATTATTAGTCATATAGGAGGATTTCTTGACAGAAAAATCAACTTATTTTAACCCGACCAGGGATTCAAACCCTAGACATGATCAGCAGGCGTGCTATCGATCTCTAGATCAGCGCTAAAGTCACACAACTTATTTATTTGTATAATCATTAACATTACAAACAAATGTTTATAGTGGTCTTGAAACGTTGCAAGAAAACCGGCGTCATTCAATGTTCTTCGCTTCGGTCAATCTCGGCGAGATGGTGATGTGCTTAGAGGATCTGATCAATTATTTCGCACAACCAGATGAGGATATGGGTAAGTAGTAATTACCTACAAGTAATTATTACTTAAAACAAACTTATTTTAAGATTTTGTGTTGTCAAAGTGGTTTTTGCAAGTAAAACTTTTTACCGACTTCAAACAGAAGTAAGTATTTAATTCGTCTATATGTTTTTTAATGTGTGCTACGTCATAACTTTTCTATGGGTGAACTGATTTTGATATTTCTTTTTTATCTGAAAGTTTTTGAGTTTGAACTTTAATAATGCATATTTAATTGACTTCGAATATCTTGATTTGGTCGTACAAATTTTTTTTATTTTACCACGTATTTACAGACTCTAAAACCTACTAATACTTAAACTTTACAAGAATGTGCAAGCAAGCATACTTTTCCTGTAAGCTTTACCTATATACACCTCAACGAGTTACTGAGCTATATACTCTAGTATATATACGTACCAATAAAGCCGCTCTGTTTACATAATACATACGTAATAGAACGGGGGAGTGGGTGGAGCCCGTGTAGCCACTAACATGTCAATTCACACGTATAAATGTCAACACAATCAATCGTTTCCAATTTTCGTGTCAAGCGTCACTGCATGCAAATTATTTAAAAATGGCAAATTGTGCAACAATTACGTGTCGAAAGAACTGCGGGAAATGAAATTTAAATAAAGGAGACATATCCTAGAACCAGTAAGACGAAACTGTTTATATTTTGTGTATATAAGAAACAAAAATAAAGAAATATTGATGTGTCAAAAACATTAATCAAAAGTCTAAAATGTGTAAATTCGCTCAGTCTGTCAACACAGCGAATCGGGTTTGTAGTAGTGATAATACGACGTAATTGCTTGTATGTGTGCTCCCGGCGACGCAGATCCTCGTACAAAATAAGGATGACAGCCATTCTATTGTGTATTGTAGTATTCTATGGTTTCAGTCTATTATAAGTCCATTGCTTTATATATGCCTCCCCATAGATTGCCTCATCCGTTGCACGCTTGGGCGGGTTGGCAAAAAATGTTATTTGTTATTATTGAGTTGTTTACAGGAAGATTCCTTTTTTAATAGAATAAGGGTGACAAATGAGCACACATTTTATCTGATGGTAAGTGGATGCTGTGACCCATAGACATCTACATTTATCCTCAATTAAGAATCAAAACGCAGATGCGTTGTCACCTATGAGGACTAAGATAGAATGCCTCGTTTTCAGTAAAAAAGAGTCTCTGGATCTCTATATTCACAATACGAGACATAACAGTATTAAGCTGCTATTTTACGCTGGTATTCTGTGAGAGTACAGTACTTACCCGTTTGGGCAGACCCATTCGTGACACAAGCATAATATAGCTGCAGCGTGGCTCTACCACGTATACATTGCTGCCCATCTATTGTTTTTCCTGGTTTGTTTTCCTCTATCGCCTCTTACCTTCGATCAACAATACTAACTAGATAACGGGTCACGTACAAAATCATAGCTAAATATCGTCCGCATGAATATAAACAATGAAAAGACATGAATTAAATAACATTTAGTGTGAAATCAACCTTAAGTTATAACAAATAAAGTTCTCTTTCCCGTTATTGTCTTGCGAGTTACACTCTCACGTGCAAGAGCTCACGTCTCATGTGCGCTCTTATTTACTGAGATGGATTTCTTGCGCCGATCCGACATCTAGTTGGTATTGTTGATCGAAGCTTCTTACGACACCTACGTGATGGTGATAGGGGTAGTGGATGAATGAATACTTTTGTAAGTGAACCGAAAACGAATTTTTAAAGTTTTGTTTGGCAATCAGTCGATGAGAGACTTTTGTTTGTCAGTCTGCACCGCAGTTAAGGTTGACATGTAAAGGAAAATTTGTTATATTTTCTCTTCTTCCTCGTCTTCAGAAGCAGGTAGAAGCTTGGCTACTGAACATAGAGTCCCTTTAGAGTTGGATATGTTTCGTAGTTAACACACTTGGCAGATTTTGAGATGGTATCAGGTTGGTCTTACCCTTAACCAGTTGTGTATAATAAGTGGCATAAATAAGGAAAACGAAACAAATAACCAAAGAACTTACCAAATTTCAGAACATGAAGAAAAACAAAACAAACTCCGCGCTCTACGCAACCGTCAGGACTTGTTCCAGGAGGAAGGTATTCTTAATCTCATCCTCGAGGCGATCGACAAGATCAATGTCATCACTTCACAAGGGTTTTTGGCCGGATTCCTCGCTGGTGACGAGTCTGGACAGAGCTGGGAGATGATCTCTGGATATCTTTATCAACTATTGGGTAAGGTTAATTATTAATGCATTTATACTTCCTGCATTCTTTTTTGTCACTTAGGCTAATGAGCAATTTTTATTTTCGAAATAATCTCAACAATTTATCGTTACCCAGATTCCTCCATTTCTTTTATAAAATATAACACAAATTTAATGCCAAATCAAGTATAACCTCAATATCAGGATATTTAATAAGGGAAACAATTCCTATAACAATAAATAATCCCGAATTTTTCTAGCTGGTTCTTCCCAGGACCCAGTATGTACTGTAATTGGCTAGGCAAATAAAAATTATTACTATTGGTTAACTAACGACGTAGCCGGGCATATAAATATAGGCTGGGTCGACGTAAAATTCATTCCATATTCCGTATTCCATATTCAATACTTGATACACCAGTCGTTTGCACATAAATAGTAGTTTCATTTCTCCGCCACTAGACCACTCGGAGTCTGTTAATAGTGGACCGCTTATCCCCACTATTACAAAAGTATTAGTGTCAATTGCTTCTATTCCGTTCATCTGTTACACCCTATTTTTTTGTCAAGTGGGTAAAAAAATCACCTGTACATTAAATAAAAAAAGTGTTTCATAAAAAATCTTATAGTAATTACATACCTATATAATATGCTAGTCATTACTCTGATTTAGAAATATAAAGATAATTATATAATATCAAATAAATAAAGAGAAAATATGATGAGGGTCGTGAAATTATATAAGACGAAAAGAAACGAAAACTGGATTCTGAATTTGAATGAAAGCGATAATAATTTTCGCTTTACATTCATATTTAATATTTTTTCACAGCGGCAATAATTAAGGGCAACCACACAAACTGTGCGCAATTCGCTAACTCCAATCGGCTCAACTGGCTCTTCTCGCGACTTGGCTCGCAGGCTTCGGGGGAGGGCACGGGAATGTTGGACGTACTCCATTGCGTACTCATCGACTCGCCTGAAGCATTGAATATGATGCGGGTGAGTATTGGACAAAGAACATGACATTTAAACAATCATATTAACCGACAAATTATTACTTTTTTGTGTATTCTTTAATGTGCATACATACTTAGAATTATATATTCGATGAGTAATATTTTTTAGCATTTGGTGACAAACGAGCACACAGTCCACCTGATGGTAAGTGGATGCTGTGGCCCATAGACATTCACATTTATCTTCATTCAATTTATAATCAAAATGCAATGCGTTGTCACTCATGAGGACTGAGATGGAATGCTTCAATTCCAGTAAAAAGGATCTCCGGTTCCCTATCACTCACCATACGAAACACATTCTGTAAGAGCGTGGTCCTGCCTCGGTCGAGCCGACCCGTTCGTGCTGCAACTATAATATACCTGCTCTACTAAGTTATTGTAGAAGATGAATATAAATATCTCTTTCTTACTGCGTTTAGTTTTTTTATTTATTGTATTTTTGCCAAAAATACATATTACTACCATGGTACTTTATACAAACTATAATAATAATGTCCTTCAGACCGAATTTCGGCCACGGTGGCCTGCCTTAGCGGAGGCTAGCCATCGGCGCAGGACAGGATTATAGTAAGCACAGGTGCACTCTATCGTTCCTCACTCTCGTAATTCGATGGGACGGTAAACCGACACGACCGGAGAGAGATCAGGCGCACTAACGGCTTTACGTGCTTTCCGAGGCACGGGGGTGAGGCACCGCCAACTTCCTGACTCCGGTCAATTACTGAGAATTTCTTGACGGAAAAACTCTATAATTAGTTTTTCTGGCCCGACTCGGGATTTGAACCCAGGACCTCATGATCAGCAGTCGTACTACTACAACCACTAGACTAACGAGGCAGGCTATACAAACTATATCTATATAATAACAATCCGACATGACCTGGATTCGGATTGCAATCATATAAAAACAAATATCTTGCAAAAACACAAATATCGTATTTTGAGATCTAATCGTGGTGTTCCCGTGACCCAGACAACGGTTGTAAACTGTAAAGTAAATAACTGTCATAACTTATAAAAGTTTAAATTGTTTCCAGGACGAGCACATAAAGGTGATCATATCTCTGCTAGAGAAGCATGGGCGGGATCCAAAAGTTCTGGATGTGCTGTGTTCTCTTTGCGTCGGTAACGGTGTTGCGGTGCGTTCTTCCCAGAATAATATTTGCGACTACCTCCTGCCCGGAAAGAACTTACTTCTTCAGACGCAACTAGTTGACCACGTATCTAGGTAATTATTAACTATAAAACTATTTCATTTTTATATATATAGCTTCTGCTGCAATTTGTATGCACACATGTTAAATTATTATGTCTCACTCACACATTAACATAGGCCGAATTCTTTCCTCTCAATACCATCTTCCGCATTAATATGTGATCGATCAACGCATCGCTGACAAACCTGAGGTCCTGTATATAAAAAGGAAATAGAAGAAGTGCATCATAATTCGCGATTCAAGAGTATAAAATCAAAAATTATGTAAAATAATAATAAAATAAAATATAGTTATTTTCGTTATACTGGGTGGCGATTAGGTTATCACATTTTATAGCGCAGCAGTTAATGCAAGTTGATATACGTCTGTTAAAATAACAAAATAAACAATAATACAAAAAATAAAAAAATGCATTTTTACGTTACGATTTCTGTGCCTGTGACAGATGACTTGACTCTTCCATAGCAACTATAATTTACTGTAATTTATAAGCTCACTTTATATTATACTGACTGTGTGGTGGTGATATAAGTATTTCCACTACATCGTCCCGTGGGTGTCATTAAAAGCAACCATAGAATACTATAATACACAATAGAATGGCTTTTTTTTTTTGCATGGGGAAATGCCTACGCATACCCGCCTCGCGGGGGGCAAGGACGGGTTATGTCGGACTCGCACCGACTAAAACCCCATGGTGTTCCACCTTTGTCGCATATTGGCAGGGCTACGGGAACGCTTTCGCACACATCCGCGGCCCTACTAGCGCCTGCCGCCCCATGGCAGCACCTCCTCGGGAGAGGAAAATTCCTCCCCGTTCTCCTTCCCAGGTAAGGCGCACCAGAACACATGGCGCGCCTTCCTCCACGGCCTCCAATTACGTCTGTGCAACAGACGCCCCCGCGTCCGATGCACAAAGGCCATGGGGCCAGGAAAAACGAGCACTTAGAAGTACTAGCCTTCCCGACCCCAGCGGCGGATATGGTCTATGGCTCCGCCGCCAACCAAGATTCGGCTGCGGAGGGTAGGGAGAGCGGCGCCTCGCAATACCGACAATCCTCTCCCCCCCGCAGCCCCACCACCACCGCATCAACGGTGCGGCCCCGGTTTGAGTCGCGAAGGATAGGGCGAGTGGCGCATCGCCATACCAACACACCTCTTCCTCCGCGACTCCACCTCGGCTGCAGCGGTAGAGGGTGCGCGAGTCCCCACTCGCTGCAGTCCACCAGCACACATCCGAAGTGGGCTCCCCAAGCCCACTCGGAGTGGCCACCTCAGGCCGGCCCTTCACCTCGGGCCAGCCACGTGGGTTCCTTTTTGTTCACCGTGGGAGACCAAGCCACGGCTACTAAGCCCCCCCGCCACGACAAGGCGGGAACCCGTTCGGGAGGGGGGGGGGGCAAGAGAATGGCTGTCAACCTTATTTTGTACGAGGACAGGCGCCACCGGGAGCACACATACAAGAAATAACGTCGTATTATCACTACTACAAACCCGATTCGCTGTGTTGACAGACAGATTTTAATACATATTTATTTGTAAATAGCGTGCAAATTGGCATTTTTTTTCTTATTTCTCACACCTTCACGTTTCCTCACGATGCTTTCTTTCACCGCCGAGCACGTGGTTAATCAGCATTTAAAACTGCAACTAACAATTTTATTGGTGCCGGCGGGGATCGTACTTGGGTTGCTCGTGTAGTGTGAAATTTACAGTGACCGCTAAACTTATGACCTATCACGGCACCAGGCATGTAGATTAGAGAACAGGAGAACGATCACCGTAGAAAATAGTGTCCAGAAATATGGACACCATAAGTGAGGCGCTACGATCGCTCGAGGTTCGGTCAATAAAAGTCATTTTCAGTCTATTTTTCCGATCAGATGCTAAACCACTTGTACATCCACGCACAATAAAATATTTCTCCATTTTTTAATGTTACTTTTTGTCAAAAATTACAAAATTACGGAGCATGTAAATTTTCTAAAAATGATCCAAAAAATGAAATGAAAATTTGTACATTATTCAACTAACTTCATCTACTTGTACTCATAAACAGCTAACTTCGCAGTTACTACTCACCGACGTCAGCGCCGCTATACATTCTACAATTTTCAAGGACAGGCGGGATATGCTTTAGTACGTAGTGATCGTTCTCCTGTCCTCTAACCTTCATGGCACCAGGTTATGGCAAATATCCACACATAAGGTAATCCATGCAAGGGACCTATGGGCCGCAATAGGTTAAGATGACGGTTACTTAATATTACACAAATATAATATTGTCATCAATTAATCGTTAAAGACTACTTTTAGATAAATAGGATACAATATGTGTGGATGATAATTTATGCTTACTAAGTTAATCCTTTATTCCTCCCTCCCCTAACTCCTTCATCTAAAATTGGAAGTATAAAACGAAATTAATTTAATGTTTTAATTTTCGACAGCGTACGGCCAAACATTTTCGTTGGCCGCGTCGAGGGGTCGGCAGTGTATCAGAAATGGTATTTCGAAGTAACAATGGACCACATTGAGAAGACAACTCATATGATGCCGCATCTCCGTATCGGATGGGCGAATACAACTGGGTATGAGATAGTATTACGTTTATCGTAGACAGAGAAACCTATAGACAAATTGACGCCTTCTTTCGCATTCGCACACGAAAAAGATAGATTTATGCATACGTCTTGCATAGAAATGAGACAGAGCGGTGTGATACTTTGTCCCTTTCTCCGTGCCGGTTTTTTTGTTTCGCAAACTACACTTTGACTTTGACAGTTCGTAGCGATCTAATGGTACCCACTGACGATACGTCCATTTAGAAGACTTCTAAGTGAATGCACTCCAAATAAAATGTATCCAGGTACGGTACCATTGACGATACATCCATTTGGACGCATGGCGTCACTTCGAACTTGGCAGTCGTACGGAATGGAAATAAATAATAATATGGATAACAATACTTTACTGGTGGCTGCAGCAGCGTGTATTTCATTAAAAGACAAAAAACCCTAAACGGGGCAATCCATCGTAGTCTTCAAAGATGACAACGCATCTATATTTTGATTCTTAATTGAGAATACAAGTAGATATGAATTGTGGACCACAGCACCCACCACCAGGTGGACCGTGTGCTAGTTCGTTAGTATCATTCTAGATGTGGTATAGATTATGGTGGAGCAATGTCGTTGAAAAGTCGCAATCAACATATAGTGGATATTATTCATTGTAACTGTACGCGGTAGAGCACCGTTGCATCTGTATAATGGCTGTAGCCACAAATGGGTCGGCTCGAATGAGAATGATGAAGGATCACGCTCTCACACAATAGCATAAAATAGCAGCTTAATGCTGCTGTGTTTCGTATGCTGAGTGTAAAGAACCGGATAATCTTTTTACTGGGAACGAGGCACTCCACTTAATTCTACAGGGGTGACAACGCATTTACATTTTGATTCTTATTCGATTATAGATTCGGTCCATGGGCTACAGTATCAACTTAACATGGGCTACAGTATCATGTGGACTGTGTACTTGTATGTCATCCATATCACAGCCTATACTTTACATAATAAAAATATTTTTAATTCAATACACAGTTTATGTTTGACAAACAGAGTACATGTACCACCATCAACACCAAAACAAACTGACACAATAACCTCCAAAAAATGGACGCCGGTTCGCCCATTCACTGACAATTCGGACTGCTTCGCGTGGCGCACGTCGCGGACGACGCCCATTTGGACTGGACGCATGGATTTCAATCCGTTTGGAAATCCAGAGTTGGATGGAGTCCATCCAAATGGAATAGTTTTTTACCATTCACGGAACACTTTCGGGCGATTGCCACTCCATTTGGATTAATGGACGTATCGTCAGTGGGTACCTTAAGGAGTTTACAAATTGGTTTAAGTGAGAAAAAAGTGTTTTGTGTGCTTAAGATTGATGAATCTTGTTCAGTTCAGTTCTTAGAACAATTAAAATTTTTATCTATATATGTTTAAAAGTCATTAAGATTATTGTATAACCTAAAACTACGTTATCGTCCTTTCTCACTCGAGGCCACGCTAATCATTAATTAGTCTATAGGTTTCTCTGTCTACGACGTTTATATATTTTTTATTTTTACATTCCTTTGTGCGTGTCTCTTAATCATCGTGTAACTTCTGAACCACTTGACCGATGGAGATCCTACTCACACATTATTTCTTTTTTTTTAAATTGCAATATATTAGTATGATATATTCGTTTTGTCGAAACGATGGTTCATAGATAGGATATGATGGGTGGAACTATAGTTTGTGGTTGAACTGTAGTAGTAAATTATTGAAAAATTCTCTTTTTATAGAACAAAACAAAACAAAATCGTGGAAAACCGATAAAGCTCACTTATCGGTTCCAGATTTTGTTGAGTTAGGTACTAACAATTTTTTTATTAACACTATAAAAAGTGCTGAGAGAATCCGTAGTGTAACTCATCGCGCTACCTACCTATTAGAGCAGAACAACGTCTATCTATACCATCCTCTACCTATATCGATCTATCTATCTATATCCAGTTAACTATAAATCTCAATAGAATGGCGTGCTAAGAAGCTTATTGATGACACATTCCTTGTTCAATCAAATTATTTTTCCAATCAATCATCTTACCAGTCTCAAGCACAAGCGCGCGAGAGATGCACAGGAATTGCGTAACATTTTTCCTTCCTTACCTTTCGTAGCGGACAAACGAACGCTTTGCCAGTCTCTAGTCCATTATTATCTGCATTACAGCTTGTCACTAATCCACTGCTTAACGTAGGCCTACCCCAAGGAATGCCACAAAGAACGGTCCTGAGCCACCTGCATCCATCGACTTGCTGCATGTCTTACTAGGTCGTCACTCCATCTGGCTGCTGCTTGAGAACATTTCTTCCCCGTCAGTTGCCGATGGTTGGTGCATTGCAACTTCAGCTTACTGATCCGTTTTTACTATCAATATACATTGGGTGTGTTCCGAAGTAGAATCCAGTATAATGGCCAATGCAAATGACGTTATAATCGACGCCATACTGGTGATTTGTTTCAAAACATTGGCTAGTATATGACATCATACATTTGCGCCATATTGAAAAAGATTTGGCGTATATTTTACGTCATTTTGTGCTCCAAAAGTTATCCTGTTTCAATTAATTTGTGAAGAAGGGAGATACCAGCAATAATTCTATAATTTTTTGTATTTGAATAAATAAAAACAAATTCTGGCATGCTTCATTCAACATACACACAATATTTTTTTTAATATGGCGTGACATCCGACACAATATGGCGGCGGCACGCCAGTACAATATGGCGTCAATTAATGACGTCATTTGCATTCGCCAGTATACTGGGAACATTTCAGAACACAGCCTTTATTCTATCGTGACAGATACGTACCGTACCCCGGTGGCGGTGAGAAGTGGGGCGGCAACGGAGTGGGAGACGACCTGTACTCGTACGGGTTCGACGGCGCGCACCTCTGGTCGGGCGGGATGAAAACGGCCGTCCACCGAACGCACGCAGAGGAACCCTTTATTAGGAAAGGTAAAAGATATAATTTCATTAAAATTTAACATTAGAGGTTGAAAAAACTTGACCAATACTCTTTGAGCATTCATCGTGCGATGTGATACATTTATACAGAGATATAGGTCAAGCTAATTGTACGCGCATTAAAGTATCACGTCAAGAGGGAGAGGCTGTGATTGGTCGATGTCATCGCGAGCCGGCGCAGTGGCATCACGTCATCTTTCGTCCCCTCTCTCTAATGTTATTCATAGCTCACGCAGAGTTCGTCTTGTCACCACGCATGTAAAACTCTTAATTTGTTAATGAACAAAATAAAGTCACATTTATCTAAAAGAAATAAAATATTCATTTCTGCGCATACATAAGTTTTGGTCCTTCGAGCCGGATATTGGAAACCAGCAGTTGGAAGAAACATAAAGCGGATTAATAGAGATAACGCAACCGGCAATCGCCTTCGGTCGCAGCACATTGATTTTGGTGAGACGTACCTGCCTGGTTATTTGAGAGGAGCATTTAGATATTGTGTATTATCCGTGGTTACTTTTTAAATTTCAGTTTCCCAGTTATCAAGTCTTATCTGTCAAAATAAGAATACCTATCACGCGTAGCAGATTGCAGTAGCAAAGGCCTCGTCATCATAATTGACTTAACGCCGTAAGTTTGAGAACAGCAACTGTAACTACTCCTGTTTTTTATAAATTGCCAAAATGCCTAACGGAGACCCAAAGTCAGGTTTATCAAAATCTAGTTCTTTAAGTAGTGATCAAATTAAAGAATTAATCAAAAAAAGGGGAACAGTTAAGGGTAGGTTAACGAATTTTCGAAGATATATTTCCTCTTTTATAGATAAACATTAACTAATGAACAGCGCACGGAGTTTAAATTGCGTATGCAAGATGCATTAAGTCTTGATAAAGATTTTAATGAAATTCAGAATTATTTAGAAATATCTCTTTCGGAAAGTGATTTAGTAAAACAGTTAGAAGAACGTGAATGTTTTGAAAGTCTTTATTATGGCGTCCTCGCTCAAACGCAATGTATGATAAATAAAGATAATGAGATGAATATTCCTAAATCGGCAAACAATAGTAAATTCAATCGGTTAAATTACCTACAATTTCTTTACCTATCTTCGATGGATCATATGAGCACTGGTTAGAATTCCGCGACACATTTCAATCGTTAGTTCACAATTCTAATGAGATTACTAAAATTCAAAAACTGCATTATTTGAAATCTTCATTAAAGAGCAGCGCCGCATTAGTTATAGACTCACTAGAATTTTCCGAAAGTAATTATACAGTTGCATGGGGACTTCTCCTTAACAGATATAACAATAACAGATTGCTGGTACACAATCACGTAAAATCCTTATTTTCATTACCGCTTGTTACAAGGGAATCACCTGGGTTACGAAGAAAACTTATTGATACAGTGTTGAAAAATATACGCGCATTGAAAATACTCGGTGAGCCCACAGACTCCTGGGATACTCTAATTATTTACATGATTGTATCAAGGTTAGATCCTGCCTCCGAACGAGAGTGGGAAAAAGGTGAAGTGTACATTTTATAAATCGACAGATGAATCTCAGAATTGTGTTATAACGTTAAATAATTTAATAAAGTTTTTACGAGATAGGGCTGACATGTTAGAAACGCTTTGTGTCACACACGCCAAGTCTGGCATACATTATGAAAATAAAAGACAACACCCTAGTTCCAGCGCTCATAACCACATGCATAAGGTACACTGCAATTTTAGTACAGACAAACCACAAAATTACACAAAAGATTTATGCATTACGTGCAAAGCTAAACATAAATTGTATTCATGCCAAACATTTCTTGAATATGATTTACAAGATAAAATAAAATTTATACACCAAAAGGGGTTATGTGAGAACTGTTTACGTCCGGGATATATGGCTAATGAGTGTAGGAACGGGCCTTGTCGAAAGTGTGATAAAAAACATAACACATTAATTCATACTGACAAAACCAGCGAAATACAATCACAAATTCCCACGTCGAAAAATAAGGTTATATCTCCTAACCTTTTAAATAGTTCGGTTGCATCAAGCAACAGCGATAATAGTAATAAAATCATACACAACTCTGCACAGGTGAGCAATACTCACATAGACGTACTAAGCGCGCAGACGTCTGCATCGCTGCCTATACTACTGTCTACAGCGGTCGTTAAGATAGCCGATAGCTTAGGTAACTATCATAAGGCACGCGCGGTGCTCGATAGTGGCAGCGAACGTTGTTTCATAACACAATCGCTTTGTGACAAACTTAATACACAATTAATACAGTCCACTCATAAAATAAGAGGTTTCGGCGGTAACACAATAACACAATGTTCAAAAACATGCGATATCGAATTAATGTCTGTTAGCGAGACTTATATTACGCACATAAATAAATGTCTTATTTTACCGCAAATTACGTCTTCCCTACCGGCCGTGAATGTGAATATTGGTCAGTTTCGTATACCAACCGATATACAGTTAGCCGACTCAGTATTTTATCAAACTCGTTCGATTGATTTACTGATTGGTGCAGACATTTTTTGGGATCTATTATGTGAGGGTAGAATTCGCTTATCAAACGGACCTTATTTACAAAATACTAGACTAGGTTGGATAATATCCGGGCCTATTTATTCACAGAAATTAAGAAATAAAAATTATATTCATTGTAATTTCATACAATCATTAGACGCGCAAGATGTAAGTATACAGTCTATAGACAAACAGTTACGTATGTTCTGGGAGATTGAAGACTTATCGGTAGGAAAGAGAGGGTGTGATGGATTGAGTGAAGAGGGGCGTTTATGCGAGAAACATTAGTGTTGCCAATTTAGCATATTATATGCTAAATTTGACATATTTTCTTCTTGTTTAGCATATTTTTTTTGCTTTTAGCATATAGCATATTATTTCAGCATATTCTTATAAAACATGAAAAGAATGTAAATTACAATCTTTCTTGAAATAAAATTTGATATCGATACCTACCTCAATCAATTTCCCACTTCACTACTAGTGATTCACTAGCATGGCAACCCTTTTTTGAAGCGAATATAATATTCTCTGTGCTACGGGATTCCCCTTAGACATAGAGAATGGACTGAGCCCTTATTCAGGTATAAAGTATATATGGACGAAGTACAAGAGAGACAAAGCGAATGTGCCGCCAGTTATTGTCTCTTTCTACGCCTTACCTGCGCCTTGCAGAAAATACACATGTATTGGCCGCGTATTCACTTTGTCTCTTTCTAGAGAGTGGTCAGTTTTGTGAGGGTGATGTCTATGGGATAGAATTCCCTTACTATTATCCATTCCCCAGCGCCTACGTCGCTTTCTGTCAAAAACATTGTTTATTGTTGTGGATGTGGACTCACTCATATCGTCGTCTCGTCTTATCCGTGTTTTCGTGTTCCTTTTTTATAATTTGATATTTTTATTATGGTGCCTAAGTATAGTCAACATTACCGGGCAGACTGGGAGAAAATGGCAGACTTTAAAGAGTGGTTGCAGCCCGTTGAAAACGATACTTCGAAAGCGTACTGTAAGTATTGTAAATGCGAAATGATTGCAAAATTGTCTGTTTTGAGGCTACATATTTCATCAGCAAAGCACAGAAAAGCAATAGAGCCAATGAAGAGTCAAAAAAAAATTAACTTCCCTAAAGTAAAAAAAGATCTGAATACCCAGAAAGCAGAATCTTTGCTGGCTTTGTTTGTTTGCGAGCACTGTGCAATTATGGCTGTAGATCATTTATCGGAACTATGCATATACCGATTTGTCGACAGCAAATACAGCGACATCAAGTTACATCGAACCAAATGCACGAATATTATTAAAAATGTTTTGGCACCACACTTCATTCAAGAAATTGTGACAGATTTAGGAGATCAGGAGTACAGTCTCTTAATCGATGAATCGACAGATATATTGGTACTTAAAATGCTTGGTGTTTCGATAAGATATTTCAGCCGATCATTAAAAAAGATAATTTCCACATTCTTGGGATTAGTTGAGATTGAAGACGGAACTGCAGTCAGCATAGTGAACGGCATTAAAGGATTGTTGGCAGAAATAAAAATAAATTTAAAGAAATTGATCGGTATCGGCACGGATAACGCTTCGGTCATGACAGGAACTAACAGTGGAGTGCACGCATTGTTGAAAAATGCAACTGGTAATGACAATTTAGTGTTAGTCCGCTGCGTGTGTCATTCGTTACAGTTGGCTATGTCTCATGCTTCAGCAGAAACCCTACCAAGAAATGTTGAATTTCTTATAAGAGAAACCTATAACTGGTTTAGCCATTCATCAAACCGAAGACTCTTTTACAAAAACATGTTTCAAACGATCAACGGTGGCTCCGTTCCATTGACAATTCCACAGATGTGCAATACCCGATGGATATCAATTGAACCAGCGGTCTGCCGTATTCTTGATCAATGGATAGAATTAAAAACCCTGTTTGAAATTGCCAGGCGAGATGAACACTGCTATACGGCAGAAATACTATATAACATGTATAATGATCCACAGAATCATTTGTACTTATTATACATAAGACCTATCTTACAGGAAGTTCAAGTGGTAAACAAGTTTTTTGAAAGTAACGATGTTGACCCAACAAGATTGTACAATGATTTGATTGGCTTAGTGGAATCGATAGGTCGGCGTATTCTGAACCCAACGGCAAGGGTAGATATTTTAACAGAAGACATAGAAAGCTATTTAGATCCGAAACCATACATGGGATATGCTTTTGAGACCAAATTACTTGAATACAATCTTCAGCCTAATGCAGCAAACTATTTACGCCGACGTTGTAATAATTTCACACTGAAACTTGTGACAGAACTACGTTCGAGATTACCGGTTAATTTTAAAATACTTCAGAAGATATCCATGTTTTCAGTTCAAGAGACTTTAAAAGTAGTTAAGCCATCCATTGTCGAAATAGCCCAAGAGTTCCGAGTTAATGCAC